AAACTACTGAATATAAAAAAATCTATAAAGTTTATTCACCTCCGAACTCTTCTCAATGACAGTTAAGATGACAATGGTACCGCTTGCACCCAAACTGTCAGAGAGATGAATTCGAAAATGAATAAGAAGTTATAGATTTACCGCGATTCTCTTAAAACAGAGTATTAACGAAACTCTATAATATGTAAAATATTAATTACCGTGTTGTAAAATTCTTCTGAAGATTGAAATAAAAAGTATAATTTTCAATATATGTTATAAGCAATATGTAACAAAAAATGAATATCGTTAGGTGAATCGATATATCTCTTTATGTATTAGAATAATTATTTTTCAAAATAAATAAATAACGAAGCGGAAGACTAATAATTTATATACGCGAAATATTTAATCGCGATATACCCGGTATATTTACAACAATCAAATTATATAATTAACTTACGAAGAAATTCACTTATGTGCGAAAGTGCGTAAAAATTTGTTATAATAAAAAAGAAAAAATTTCGCGCAAAACCCGACAACACGTCCGTTACACGTGAGAGATCGACGATATCTGAGGCTACGCGCTGCGCTGCGAGTAGCGCAGTTTTCCACCGCGCATCCCCCACTACGCGCTTCTGCGCTTTTGGATTTTCCTTCGCGTCGCGGGCCCTCAGTTGCAAGATAGAGATTGAACGGTTTCCCCGACCGTCAAAACAAGCAAAAAATTCGGTAGTTGGAAAACACCTCAGTCATTGAACATAATACTGGTATTTTTCACATTCTTTTATATTAAAATTCATCATTTATTAACATTCTTAGTTCTCTTTCGTGTTTTACATAGTCGAGAATATTAATTTTCGCGAACGTAGTATCTTTTTCTTTTTCGGTCGCGACGATAAAACGCAAGAACTCGAAATCGCGATAAAATCATATCCTTTGAACTGAAACAATCAAAGTAAAGTATGTTAGACGAAGAAATCTTTCGTACAAATAATGTATATCGTATATATTCTTACGCAGTTTGTAAAAGTCTAAATATTTTTAAAAATACGATGTTTTTATAACTTACATTTGCTTGCGAAAAGACACAAATGTTTACCGGGACATTTTAAATAAAAGATTATTGAAATAAAGTTAAAATAATGTAGAAAATCACGGACAACATTAAATAAAAGTCTTACATCGAAAAAGACAAAGAAAGAAAAGAAAATTGAAGAAATGAATTTACAGAAGATCGATTTGTAAATTCGGGAAAGAGAATTACAAGAGATAAAGATTTGCAACTTTTCACGCAACATATTATTGTCGAGAAAAGAAGATTTTAGCGCGAGCTGCGTCGGAATTCATTAAAATATACTCAGGTATTGTCTCAGTTTTCATCATTGTTGCGGTTAATTGCTTTGTACGTTTTATTTTCTTAAAAACACTACATGTTGATGCATTACAAAGCAAATTACAGAAAATACATCCGTATATTAAATTCATTTTAACAATACAAGTATGTGTGTGTGAAAAATTGCAAATTCAAGAAGTACACTTTACGGTTTTATTAAAATTTAAATTCTGAAAATTTTTTTAAAACTTTTTATTAATTTTTTATTAATGTCTATTAATTTTTTATTAATTTTATTACTATTTTTTAGATTCTCGCGTAGGAAAGTGTTTTCAATTATACATAGTAGAACTTCACACACAGTAGAGCTCCAGTGACGTGAGGATGTTCGTCGGAAAACTATTTCGTATAAATAATATAACGTCGTATAAATTCTTACGCTGTTCTTGAAAGTCTCGATGGTTTTGTGAACACGTTGTTGTTGTAACTTGTATTCGCTTGCGAAGAGAAGAATATTCACCGATAATTTCAGATATTTTAACTAAAGAACTATCAGAATAACGTTATAAAATAATGTAGAAATCACGCTTTCTCGTATATATTACTGTACAAATTAAAGACATTATTTATTCTGCACGCGAGATTATATACATATATTGCAATCGGAAAATAGAGAATGTATATTGATATCTCACTTGTTCTCTTTACATTCGAATTATTTTTTTATTACGTAAATTCAAAGAAAACAAGTGCAAGTCGCGATGTAATACCGAATACAGTGTGTCATAAAAGAGATACATAATTGTCAAAAAGACAAGAGTTTAGCGGGCAGCATCGGGACGCAGAGAAAGTAATGATCTGCTTTTATATATCATTTATTTGCTTCATAAATTTTATTTAACTTTATTTTTTCTTTCCGTCTTACACAGGCTGCGACACGCGTTCGAATAGTGTCAGTGTAAAAATATTTCCGACGAATAATCGCAATATTCCGGTATATAAATTGTATATATACCGTACAAGTTGTCGGGATGTCAGTGTGTGTGTGTCATTTAATCGATAAGAAAATACGTCAGTTTCAAACGTTTGTTAAAGCACAAAAGATAATATCGTCACTCCCTACGTATAATTACTTAAGTGTCACATACGAGATTTTCAGTTTATTGCATAGTGACACTTAGAAAGTCACGTTCTCTATGGTCACCAAATATTAAAAACAAATATTCATAAGCAAGGTAAAAATTTAAAACCGAAAGATCCCTTAACTAGAGAAACTATATGAAGTTTTAAACTTTTAAACTGCTCTTCTCTAAAATTTGCGTTTTGGAGTTACGGGATTATACGTAGGGAGTGACGATATGTTAGGGAAGACGGTAACTAAAAGTCCACACCGTTGAATAGAGAAATTAAATTGAATCGAAATGTGTGAAACACATTTAATAAACATTCTAAACAGCGCAGCGTTATCAGATAAACAATAGAAATATCTTTATTACACTTTGATAGAAGATCTAAAGAAAACGAGTAAAATACTAAAAAAAAAAAAAAACTCGGTGATTAATCCTTGAACGATAAGAACGCTGTGAAGTAAGACATGCCCATTCGTAACACCTTGAATCAAAATGCAAACATTAGTTATTTGATGAAAATTACGGAATTAAACGCAAATAAATTGTACAATTGTTTTCTCACACACACACACACACACTCACCGCCGCGTAAGTCGCTATTGATAACGAAATCATGTTACCGGCCTTTAGATCGCAAGGTATGTTGCTTCTAGAAAGTGTTATCATCAACAGAGATTTTAGTCTAGGCGAGAAATTGTACCAGTCGACCGCGTATCTGCAAGAAATAAACGCTGTAAGTAATTTTATTTAATCTTAAGTTTAAATATAAACGCGCGCGATCTTAATTATTTCCAATTAACTCTATAGATTAATAAATAGTTGAAAATTTAACTCGGGGCGATTTAAATTTCAAACAAACGGTCCACAGTTGGCGGTGGAAAAATTATTTGGTAATCCGTCGCCAACTTGTGGACAATTGGCTCTTTGGGATCATTTCCTGTTAATCCAGAAATTTTAATTTCCGAGACGAGAATTATCAGATCACGTCGGAAAAATCGTCTTCGAACGAGAAAAATTCGAATTTCATCAACTTGTTCGATTTTTTACACAAATTTCGTTTCTCTCAAACGAGATGAGATATTTCTCAGAACCAACTATATACATGTGTGTATTAATGTTATACGTGTTATATACGGTAGCGTGTAAACGTAATAAATATTACGCTCGGTAAAATACGTTCTGACTTTCGTCAATTAATTTTTGACCGGAGTAACAAGGAATCAAGACGGTCATCAGCGCTCCGACGATTATAAAAGCGAATCTTATCGCTTCTCCCAGTTGATCCAACACGTAGATAATCTGGCAACACACGTGAAAATTGATTTAATTAATTATTTTACAGTTAAACATTACATTGCGGGCGCTACATATTTTTCGACGCGCTTACTCGAATCCCAATGAGACTCAAAGTTGCGATGCTCAGCAACAACAGGGACAGAGACAGTCCTTTGTAAGACGATTCCATTATATTAACAAACCTACGCGGAAATATATCAGAAGTTCATTTTTTTTCTCTCTCTTCTCCGTAGTTCGAAAAATAAAAATTAATTCACCGAAAAAATTGTATTCTTGTTTTGAGGATATCCCACTTACTTTAAGTATATTTTATACTAAAATAGGCGCCAAGAAGAGTTTCTTATTTTAAGAGAAAAATCCTCTAAATAGTAATATCGATAAGAATATATACTGATTAGAATATAAAAAGCCTCTATAGAAAAACATATATATCTCACTATCGCGCGCGCGAAAAAGACTATATTCTTAAATTAAGAATATATTCTTAAAAATAAAGAATATATTCTTAATTTCAGAAGAATATCATCTAAAATCTTTAAGAAGATTTTTTAAGTATAAAATCTTCTACTTATAAGAATATAATTTTTTCGGTGTTAATATGCAATGGATAAGGCTATACGAGCAATTATACTGGTTGTTGGTGTATTTTTTTATAACAATTCCTTTATTCTTTAATAATAATAATAATAATTAAAGAATAAAGGAATTGTTATAAAAAAATACACCAACAACCAGTATAATTGCTCGTATAGCCTTATCCGTTGCATATTAATTTGTTTTAACGAGTATTCTTATTCATTAAAAATTAATTAATTATCGAAAACGAACGGAAGCGCGCTTACTCTATGGCGAGCTGATGTTTCTTCAAACATCCGATGTAATCCCGATACATTGTCTCCTCTCTAAGTTCGGATTCCTTGCTCGTTAACTTGCGATGTTCGTAGCCATCGAGTTTCTTCTCGTCGCCGTTCGCTTCCACGATTATACTCTCTAATCGTTGACTGCGTGAATTGAACGAAGTTTTTTTTTAAGATACTTCGAGATGCGTTAGGTCCGTTGTTTTGCGCGCGTAATATCACACGTGTGTGAGAATTGCCATCCTTTAGTGTTGGCGGGAAGAAAGAAGATGGATAGCTACCCTGCCTCAGAGTAACGCGGGAGAAATAAAATTATTTGCAAGATTCCCTAAAAAACATCGGAAGGTCGCCTTATATCAACGCGGACGTCTTCGGAAAATCCACCCGGACGTTCCCGACGTTCTAAAAAAAAAAAAAAAGACCGGTGTCCTGCGAAAAGGACGGGATGGCAATCCTACGTGTGACGTGTGTCGCGCGTCACTCACCTGACGGCCATGAACAGGCTGCACGCGTGTGCGGTACAGGCGATTCGCATCGCGTCGACGCTCACCATGATGCTTATACCCACAATAGCGATCGCGGTGGTGTAACCGAAACAGAATAAAAAATACTCGTCGGTGTCGATTCTAAATTCGACTTCGAAAGCGAGAAATCGGGGACGCGTCGCGTTGTAAAGAGGTAGAACAACGTCCAGGAACACAGGCGTGAGCGGTATCACGATAAATCCCGACATCAAACAGTACATCAGCACTGCGAATCGAAGAAGACAGAAGCGAACGTGATAAAAAAAAAATGCGTGGAAGAACCCCGGGAGAAGAATTCGACGAGTTTTTTTTTCACATTTTTGTAATTTAACCTTCAACGAACGGCGTGTTTTTCGGCACCTTAATTCGCCGGACGTGGGTCGTTTTCGTCTTGGGCTTTTTAAAAATATTAAATATTTCTAAAAACAATCTGAAACAANGTGTATATACTCTTTAAACTGTCTATTTTAAGACACCATCGTTAAATTTAGTGAAAAAAAAAGTTTTAATTCATAATTTTTAGCAAATATGCACCGAAAAAATTGTATTCTTATTTTGAGGATATCCCACTTACTTTAAGTATATTTTATACTAAAATAGGCGCCAAGAAGAGTTTCTTATTTTAAGAGGAAAATCCTCTAAATAGTAATATTGATAAGAATATATACTGATTAGAATATAAAAAGTTTCTATAGAAAAACATACATATCTCACTATCACACAAAAAAGACTATATTCTTAAATTAAGAATATATTCTTAAATAAAGAATATATTCTTAATTTCAGAAGAATATCATCTAAAATCTTGAAGAAGATTTTTTAAGTATAAAATCTTCTACTTACAAGAATATAATTTTTTCGGTGTGACAACAAGGAAAATTACTTTCTTCAGAAAGTAATTTTGCTCCGGACGAAAACGACCCATGTCCGTTCGTTGAGGATTAACCTTTAGACCGCCGGCATTTTTTCCATTAAAATAGTGTATTTTGTTTTTCTCAAAGATTCGTGTGTTAATTAATTAACGCGTTTTATGTGGAATCTCGAGATTTGTAGCCTCAAAAGGAGTGATTTTAGGCGGCGGCCTAAACGCGTTTAAGAGAAGAGCGACTGTAAGTGTGTGTTTGCACACGTTTTTTGTTTAAAAAAAACGCTCGTATCTCGGAATCTCCATCGAAAATTTTTCCCTCTCTTTGGATAATTGAAACACTTAACCCTCAACGGACGGACATGGGTCGTTTTCGTTCCGGAGCAAAATTACTTTCTGAAGAAAGTAATTTTCTTGTTGTCATATTTGCTAAAAATTATGAATTAAAACTTTTTTTTTCACTAAATTTAATGATGGTGTCTTAAAATAGACAGTTTACAAAGAGTATATACACATTGTTTCAGATTTTTTTAGAAATATTTAATATTTCTAAAAAGCCCAAGACAAAAACGACCCATGTCCGGCGAATTAAGGTGCCGAAAAATACGCCGTCCGTTGAGAGTTAACTTGTAATTGCCAAGCAAAGTCGAAAACAGAAGTTCGAAAAAAACGTGAACTCTTGTCCGAGTTCGTCTCCCGTGATTTTTGTTGTACGTGTGTGTGTGTGTGTGTGTTACAAAGTTAACGTGCTCACGCGAGTAGTATCTTGTAAACTTTTTAGACAGGATGGAATAGTCTTTCAGCACTCGAACCTCTATGTCGTTTGTAAATATGTTCCAGTGATCGTCGATGGTTTGATACAAGTGTATCATCTGATCATCGCACGCGAATGCGCGAAGATGGGATCCACGTTGGATTATATGAAAAAGATTTTTGAATTGTGTGATTTCAACGTTATTTGTTTTTTTTTTTTTTTTATTATTACGCCGCGGTTTCTTTGAAAAAAAAAACAAAAACGTACCTCGTTGCGATTCCAAACTTCGTTTATCAGCCTAACGAGAAAAGAGGCGGACAGGACGATTTGATAGCAACCCTCGAATATCATTTGTCCGTCGTCCCAGTGATCGCACAACAACAATATCTGCGTGTGTCACGTGTATTGCGAGATAACGTTTATTTTGTACAACAGAGAGCAACAGAGAGAGAGAGAGAGAGAGCGTGAGAAAAAAATTGATTTAATTACTAATCGGACGTGTATTCTCTCGGGGGTGTGTATTGTGCAAACATATCGATCGATACACACACTGTACCTCGAACGGACAGTAACTCATTTCGAGCAGGAAGCAGAGAGTTTGCAACAAAATTCTCACACGTTTGTTTTGAAACGGCCAAAAACCTATGTTCGACAAAAATATCCGATTGAGATTGTACTCCCGCAGAAAATTTTCCAACATGATAAAATGTGTTAAATTGTTGTTTCGCTGTTGTTGCCGAAAGACCGCGCGCAGTACAAAGCGCTCTCTACGTTAAGGGTTGCTCTACGTAATAGAATCGATTGTTTGGTTTGCCCGAGTCGCAAGACGCACGAAATTGCGGGGTGTCAACGTCAGTTGTCTATCGTGTGTGTGTTGCGTTTTATTATTAATTAAAATATCCCCAAGCTATAAACGCTAGTTTTGTTTTCATCTCCAAAATAATTGCATAATAACACGCTTATCGAAGCAACACAGTTTTTTCCGTCTCCCTCGTCATCTTTTACTGACTAGATGAAAAATTCTTTGTCAGACAATTTTTTTTTTAACTCTCGAAGAGATAAGTGCATCTTTGTGTCGTTGAAAAACAAAGAAAAATTACGAGGTATAGAAAAACAAGACTCGGAAGAGAGACTTCGGAATGTGTTCATTCAATTTAATTTTCACAAAGTGAACAAACGAGAGAAGCAATTCGAATCGCGCGTGTTGCTTTCAAATCCTCGCGATTTGGAAAAAGATAATTTATTCTTCGCGTTTGAAAAGTAATTGTTAAGTGAAAGGAGCGCGCGCGCGAACACACAGACGACAGAGAGGATTAAAAAATTAATATTTAATATATATTAATATATTAATTTTAATCTTGCTGTTGTCTGTGTGTTTGCAAATATAAATATTAAATAAATATAATTTAATTTAAATATTATAAAGTTTTGAACAAAACTGTCGCGCGACAAATACTTTAAAATTGTTTGCAAACACTCAGACGACAGCAAGATTAAAATTAATATATTAATATATTAAATATTAATATATTAATTAACAGCAAGATTAAAATTAATATATTAATATATTAAATATTAATTTTAATCTTGCTGTCGTCTGTGTGTTTGCAAACAATTTTAAGGTATTTGTCGCGCGACAGTTTCGTTCAAAAATTTAATATTTAATATATTAAATATTAATTTTAATCCTGCTGTCGTGTCTGTGTGTTTGCGAACAATTTTAAGATATTTGTCGCGCGACAGTTTCGTTCAAACATTTAATCACTACACATTGTGGCATATTTTTGTAATTAAAAAATGTACAAGATAATATTAATTTGCAACAAATATTGTGTGCGCGTGTAGATTGTTGTTTCGAGTACGTTTCTCTAATTGTTGTTTCAAGTCACGAATTTTTCATAAAAAAGCAATCGAACGCCGATTATTACGACGATATGTTTCAGTCATTCGAAATGATTTTACGCAGAACTCAATTAACAAATTTAATTTCGTAGAAAATAAAGAATCTTATTAATCTCTGCTATAGTCATATATTTCGATATCGAAAAAAAAACTTTTACACTTGATGTTTACAAGTAGATTTTTCTTACATTTAACAAAGAAAAACATTTGTATTTTTTGTTACAAAATAACATTGTAGCAGAAGGTGGCCAGCGTTTTGTATCTCAGGGGTTCGATGTTGGTAAAAATCAGAGCGCGCGAAGATTTTTAAACCTTCGATTTCTAAACCTTATCAGAAAATTATAAAGAAATTTGCTGCGCCACTCGCTCTCTCGGACATTTTCTTTTTTCTTCTCACAGTGGCTTTTGGCGCGCGCAAATATTTTCATGTGCAAAACACAAATATAAACGCGTTTGCAAAAACCGCGGGACGGTAATTCTCGTAATTCTTCTTTGTAAAATCGAACAAATCGCGCGTCGACGTATCGATACGCGCGATATATGTTCGATTTTCTGCGTCGTCGTGTCGAATCGACAGCGCGGTACGGAACCGCGTCAAGGGACGGTAAGATAGGGATCTCGTTTTACCGACTCGGTAAAGTTGACGTAGTTCGCGCGCGCGGCACGCGGACATCGCGTCGCTCTCGGTTCGCTTCTCACTCCGTCGTTGACCGCGCGTCTGTCTTTCATTCACACTTTCGTTCCTCTCTCTCTCTCTTCTCCGCGTAAGCACTTTTGTTTATTAAAATATTAATACACACGTACGCGCGCATCTTTTTGGGAGATCGAAACGCGTTCGCCTAACAAACGAATCTACGAGACGAAAACCCCTCGATTGAAGACTCGAGTCGCAGAGTAAAAAAAAAAAAAAAAA